TTAGGGGGGCCACAGGGGGGTCAGAGGTCAGTGTTAGGGGGCACTGGCCCCCCCTAGAACCGCCCCTGGGCTCACGTCATGCCCCTGCCAACCTGTGATTGGTCAGGGCCATTCCAAGGGAAGCCAGAGGCGGCTGGCTTCCCTTGCCTCTCAATCCAATCAAATCATATCAACTTAGTGTTGCTGTGACGCGTCCTAAAACACGGAAGTAAGATGCGCTCGGTTTCCCTCGACAAAAAGCAATGGGATTTCTCCACAGGGTTTTGGAAAATAGCTCAAAATAAGGTCAGTGGAAAATGAACCTGTTTGATAAATGCACGTTTTGTTCAGCCAGATAATATCCACATGTCTACTCTACTTTTATAATTTTCGAATCATAAATCTAATCGATAGAAGATAGATAGCGCCACTTCACCACTCTCACCGCCGTTAGAAAGTAGCAAGCAACTGAAGCAAGTGCAATTATGGAGGGTGGAGATTTGGAGTATTTAATCAAAAATAATTGTACTAAACTTCCGCTACAGCAGCAACAACAAATAAAATACTGATGACAGGCCAATGCCCAAAGTGGAGCTGTGTACAGCGAGGAAAAAAGGAGCGAATCGGACGTAAAACGTTAAAGGTCTCCTGATTTAGTTTGTGAATGAATGCTTATTCGAGTTTCGGTTGGAGAGTGCGTGCGGACCTGTCGGTTAGATAACAGGCGTGTGTCCTGCAACTGTATGATACAAATGTGTGTAAAATGGTACCGGGTGCTGTAATGGCAGATTTTGCAGAAGTTTGCACTGAAAAAATAAAAAAAGATATACACACTGTTTAAAGGTACTTCATTGGTATAAAGCAGTAGGACTTACAATATGGTACAAAACAATTACATATGCATATCAATCGAACATATAAATGTACAAAAAGTTTACCAAGTTATGATTAAAACAATAAAAAAATACATCTGTTATGTTCAAAATGGTGATTTCAGTAACAGTTACTGTACAGAGTAGAGAGACCATTCATACATTCAAGTTTTTAGTCAAAGTTTACATTGGGCCTAACAGTTTGAGAGAAGAATAATGGACAGAATTAATGCAATATAAAAGCAGTAACAGAATACACAGACCATAATGGCAAGCAGCTTAACCCTCTGCAGTGTCACACATGTAGTTCATAAAGAATCCTATCCTATGTGATCAAAACTAATCAGTTGAAAAAAATAAACAGCTGATGCTACGATTTATACAATCATTGAGTCAGCATTAACAATCAACTTCCCCATGAGATTTATCTACAGAGTGTCTATGCCATTGTAAGATCCCAAAACGTGCTTGATTTTCATTTTACCCACACTTGGATAAGAAGATCCTATAATTCTTTGCACATTTGGCTATGATCACCAGCTTGCGATTGTATTCCTCCGCCAACCAGTCATTTAACAGATTACATTCGTCCCATTTTATACTTAGCAATTTAATTCTTGAGTATGGCCCAAACAGTGAACTGTGTATATCAACATTAACAACATTAAGAAAGAGGCTTTGGTGGTTTTCTTTAAAGAGGCTATAGCTGATTCCCCTGCTTCCACTCTTTGATGTGTTCTGGAGACACAGCAATTAAGTGATATCAAAATGGCACAACAAAGCATAATTCCATGAATCTTCATTAAAAAACGTGATCTGCAACTGGGTTGCTGTGTGTAGGTAAATATAATGGACATCAGGTATATACTTTAGGTTACACCTGGTCCATCACAGCTCTCTGAATACTGAATGTGTCACTTTTTGTGAGGCTTTTCATTGCAGTACACAACTCTTTCTAAAAGACATTGACTGCAGGTCCACCTGTTCTAATGTGATAATGGCTCATGGATAAGAAGGTGTGGGCACAATGAGGGCTTTTTCACCATGTCCAGACACCGTTCCCACCTCAGTCCCCTCAGTTTTGTGTGCAACAGAGCACGTTGTCTTCATGACTTCAGTGTTTAGTTGCTATCGCTCCAGTCCATGACCTTGTTATACTCCTGAATCTTTTGTTTGATATGAGAGAGCTTTTTCTTCAAGTACTCACACCTCTCTCTTTTTTCCAAATATGTTGGATCCTAAAAAGAAAAAGAGAAACAAAGAAATAAAGTGTCTAACTGTATTTGCCTGTGATGGAATTCCCTTTGTATCAGGGATATAAAATAGTCTTGCAGGTTCTCCCTTTTGAAAATATGTTTGTTGTATATCTTGGACATCATCTATACTAGGGCTGCTCGATTATGGCAACAATCATAATCTCGATTATTTGGGTCAATAATTGATATCACGATTATTAAAAACGATTATGCATTTACTTTGAAAACATCCATTTATTGAAAAAAAAAATGTGAACAGTATGTTTTTAACAATTGATTACCCTGAACTTTAAGTATAATTCAACTGAAAAACCAATAAAAAATTAAATAAATAAATAATGTTGTTAAGCCAAATCGTAATTGCGATTAAAATACGATTAATTGAGCAGCCCTAATCTATACTGCTTTTTCTTGACTGGATGTTTTCTACTACCATTCATAGGCATCGTACTCTATATGTTTAGCACCTCACTCAGTATATCATTGTCAGCCCATGTATATAAATCAATCAAATAATAAAGAATTGCCTGTATTTGACATAGAAAAAAAAGAGGGTGAATGCCTTTTTCTAATATTTTAAAAGCACCAAGTGTTAGTATCAAATGAGGTACAAATAGTAACTGTGCGACATCTTTGACAATCTATGGCTTTTTTAGCCAATACTACCACATGGAAAAGTGAATGTGCTTTGTAGCAGTTCCTGTTTGCATTGGCAAGACAACAATCACCTGACTCGAATACTTTAATACTGAGGAAAAAAGTTTCTAATGAGTCTGAGCCAGATATTTAACCAACTCTGTCCTGACTTCATTGTTAACAGGTTTATGTGACAGCCCCCAGTGACAGGGGATGGATTGTTGGATGGATCATCACATTTTATGATGTGTACTTACAGCTTTCTTTTTCTGATACTCCATTACAATGTTACTGATCCGCTCCTTCTCCTGAAACAAAATTGGAATGTTACTGGACATATATATACATGTTTTTATGCGTGTGTGTGTGTGGGCGTTACCATTTGGCTGGAAGGCCTGGAGGGGAGATTGTGCATCATCTCGTCCATCTCTCCAAACCTCCTGGCCATGGCCTGCACCTCAGCATGCAGCTCCTTGTACTCGGCGTACTGGTCGTTGAACACAGCCTTGTACTGGTCCCTCTCCTCCTCTGAGCGGATAGTGGGGTACTTCCTGTTGGAGACAACATATGTTTTTGCTTAATACAAACTAAATCAACATAAGTCTTCAGCAGTCTAAGGATGGGCATGCACCAACGCCAATAATCAAAGAATTCCACTACGCTCAGGAAATAGCTGCCATTGTTCCAAAAGCCATTGTAGCAGGGCCCATCTTCTACACAGCAAGCAGTGGCGGCTGGCCCATAGGGGCGCTAGGGGCGCCGCCCCACCTCTTCCCACATTACAAATTAAAATTAAAAAAATTAAAATTAAAAAAAATATATATATTTTTTTATATTTTTTTTTAATTTTAATTTTTAATGAACAAGGTAAATATTATATAATTGGTATCAGTAAAATGTATAATCTACAATAAAATCTCGTTTAAAATGGTGTTACGATGTCTAAAGTTACTGATAAGTCACATGTTTCCTGCCTGGCCTTGCCCGTGTATCATTACCTATGATCATTACCGTCTCTCGTCTGGGCGCTAAGAGAGGAGCCCTCAACCAGTGCAGAAGCAGCCACTAGCAGCTGACTGTTGCTATCTGTAAACTACGGCTCCGAAACATAATTTCAGCCAATCAGCGTCGTCAAATCTGATGATCACTGGGCGCCAATGTCAGCGCCCGGTGCAGGGTTATGACTAGAAAGGATCCGTCTTGTGTAAAACTCTTGCGAGAGTTTGGGAGTCACGTGGCTGAATGTTCACGTTTGACAAGCAACCTTTCAGTTACGATCGTTAACATCAGTGGGCCACAGCAAATGATGGTGAGAAGCTAAACTATCTATTAATTATGTCAATTACAGGGAGTGTGATTGTGTGTGTGACTAGCTGGATGCAAAGAGGTAAACACTGTCTTTTGTTTCCCATGCTTGCTCTTCAAACAGCCGGGGACAGATACTATGTGCCCGTGCTAAATAAACACACACACACACACACACACACACACACACACACACACACACACACACACACACACACACACACACACACACTATATTATATGTATTTTGACACACACCATGTATGTCTTTTTTAATCTTAGGTTAAGTATGGTTAAGTAAGCTTC